ATCTCCGTGTACCCGCGTGTACGTGCGTGTATCTGCGTGTACCCGCGTGTACGTGCGTGTACGTGCGTTTATCTCCGTGTACCCGCGTGTACGTGCGTGTATCTGCGTGTACCCGCGTGTACGTGCGTGTACGTGCGTTTATCTCCGTGTACCCGCGTGTACGTGCGTGTATCTGCGTGTACCCGCGTGTACGTGCGTGTACGTGCGTTTATCTCCGTGTACCCGCGTGTACGTGCGTGTATCTGCGTGTACCCGCGTGTACCCCCTCTGTGCGTGCCTGCCTGAGCAGCCATTGTTTACAAAATTGCCTAGCTTAGCCTCGTTTTCGTGCGATGACCCCAGGTCATGAATAAAATTTAATACCGCGTTCAGACGGTCATGGTTTGGCTCGAGCCAAACGAGCCAAATGGGTCGGTTTGAGTCGGAGCGTTCACACGTAGGCCTACGCAAGTGAATACTGTCTGTCAAATTCAAATTCAAATTCAAATAAATTTTATTGCAGAAATATGTCACAGATACTTTGGCAGTATGTCGCGAGATGGCGTTGTGTACGATTTAGAGTGTTTACTTCCGTTCCGAGCACAATTATCAATCTTGAAAACGCGCATCCTGATCAAATTGTTCGAATTTTTATACTGTTTTGGACTTTATTTTGTCGAAGTACACGTTCGACACTCGCGTCATCTACCGTTCAACCGATTCTACCGTTCTACCGCTCGCCGAAAGCTGGTGCTAAAATTTGACTCGGGCCTGGGGCGCGTTTCACAAAGCTCCGTTAAAGTTCTCCGCTAAGTTCTCCATTCGCTCTTTAGCGAACGGAGGCATAACGGAGAACTTAGCGAACGGACAACTCCTGTTTCACGAACGCTCCGCTATGCCTCCGCTAAATAGCGGAGGACAGCAGGCAGTCAGCTGGCAGATAACTACAAACATGTGTTGCAGTTGCTAGGTTACGTTCTATCATATAACATATAAAGCAACAGCGCTGTGACAGAGATAGCTCTAACTAACGCTATTGCAGAGAGTCAGTGTGTGCGTGTGCGTGTGAGCACCTTTCAGGATGTACTGGACTGTATTAGGTCCATAGATGACTTTTATGGCTTCTGCCAAACCACTGCCTTCCATGATGTAGCCAATGCAGCCAAGGTAACTCTTCAGGAAGTGAAATCCTCCAAGTCTCACAACAACTTCTAACTTCTGATCCTTAACAATTTGAGATGCCTTGATGAACAGAGGCAAATCAAATGTTATTATTGCTGGGGATTTGTATGTTCCTTTGATAGCTCTCATGATGGTGGTGTATATTGTCTGCATGTCATTAGGATTCGCATTGATGATTCGCAGAAACTCAATTGAAGATTTCAATGCTAGTCCGTTGTATTTCTGATGCATGAACCCCATGAAGTTGGGATGAACGGTTCTTCCTTCTACCCATCCATGGTACCAGTCTATGACAGATGCATCTGTAGGAATGGATTTTTCTAGTATTTTGTGCTGAATCTCTTTATACTTAATGAGTTTTGTGTCCAGTAGGGCATTC